CTATTATGGTGATCTAAATATGTGACGAGTTACAGTGAATCCCACATAGACGAATAATAATCGCTCTTTAAACCCCACAGAAGTGTAATAGTCGCTCTTTAAATGTTCTTCTTGTGTTCCAGGTTCTGCGACTCCCCGTGCTCGGACCCTGACCTTCCCGGCGCTCGCGGTCGGGGGAAGAGGCTGCGTTTGGCTCTGGGCGACCGCTCCTGCCTCGACTCTCCCGCCGCTAAAGTCCGCGCGCTGACGGCGCCGCACCGGAGCAGAGGAGGCGCCGCCAGCTCTCTCCACAAGGGGCGCCGCGGCAGCCTCAACCTCATCAACGCCAACGGACGCTCCTCCTTCTTCACCGTGGACGATGTCAAATCCACCAACAGTTTGTCCGGGAAACGTAAGAACAAACCGCCGGCGGATTTGGATTTGAGTTTAGTGGGAGCGGACGATATTAAAAACGGCAACGGGAAACGCATCCGAGCGAAGTCGCGTAGCGCCCCGTCGACGCCGCAAGGAAAAAACGATCCCTCCTTCATGGACCCGGGCGGAGGCGGACTGCCCATCCTCATCGACTGCCCCCACCCCAACTGCACCAAGAGATACAAACACATCAACGGACTGCGCTACCACCAGACGCACGCGCACCTGGAGGCTGAGAAACCCGACGCAGACGCCATGAAGGACGTGGAGAGCGAGGAGCGGCTGTCCGACTGCGAGGACGCCATCAGCAGCTACGAGATTTCGGAAAGTTCGGTGAAGAAAGCGGCGCCATTATATAAAGTCACTACAGTGGGGTCTCCGAAAAACAGGCGGCTTCTGCTGAGCACGGATCAAAACGCGAAAACACGGCGGACTTCTATTCTCAAAGACGGACTCATAGACGATTTGACGAATTTACCGATCATCTCGAACATGACGGTGGTGCTTGAAAACTGCATGGTGCCGGACAGGAACTCCTCCGTGGAGATGCCCAAACTCGAAGCGGAAGGTTTGATCGATAAAAAGAGCAAAAAGGCGAATGGAAAAGTCGAAAAGATCTCAAAATCGAGAATAAATCGCCCGATCGCTCCGGCGCCCGCTCCTCCGAAACTCATCGCGATCCCAAACACGTCGTACGGTGCAAACTCAGAAAACCCAGCGGTTCAGCAGCAGCCTCTGAGTTTAACCACCAAAAATATTCCGTTAAAACCGATTAAACCAAAATTAAGTCTGGTGGTGGAGCCGAGTTTGGTCAAAGCGACGCTCGTGGGGTGTAGCAAAGAGCTCAAAAAGAAGGAGAAGAAGAGATTGAAAGACAAATTAGCTAAAGATATTGCGAGCAGAGCGGCAAACGGCGAAAACTGTAAACTAGAGGAAAATGGAACCAAAATGGTGGTGAAAGAGATTCCGGGGAGTCTTCTGAAGGAGCACTTGAGCAAACAGGAAGTGCTGAACGGCGTGTCGGAGACGCCGGAGAGCCGCATGGCGAGTATCCGAGCGGAGGCCGATAAAGTCTACACGTTCACGGACAACGCGCCGAGTCCGTCCATTGGCGGCTCGTCTCGCGTGGACGGCTGCAGTGTGGACAGTAAAAACAACAGCCCCGCGTATTCGGACATATCGGACGCGGGCGAGGACGGCCTCGCCAAATCCGTGTCGTCCGAGGTTAGTGTTAATCCGAATTCGGCGAAGAACCCGGTGAAAGAAAACCCGCAGTCCCCTTATTACCATGGTTACGAGCCGTACTACCTCCAGGGATACGCGCCACCCGACAGACAGAGGAAGGAGCGCAAAGACGAGGCCAAGGAAGACGAGAAGAGCTCAGAGTTTTCCGAAAGTAAAAAATCAGACGGACAATCGCAGCTGCAGTTAGCCATGAGTCAAACGGCACTGGCGCAGTCGTTGTATTACGGCCAGTACTCGCGGGGGATGTACGTGGACCAGAAGTTGGTCCTGAGCTCCAAGTGCTGCGACCAGAAGCCGAGGGGCCGAGACGCGGACGACCTGAGGCCGGGGAAAGACGGGAGCAGCGGGAAAAGCCCCAAAGCGGCGCATCCGTACGTGGAGCTAAGCGCAGACAGGGGGCAGCAGAGGGACACTGACGAGCTCTCTCAGGCGGAGCTGGACTCTAGCGCCCCCTACGCCACTGTAAGTTTCCCCCTCTGTCTCTAGAGCTAGCGCAGGTGCTGTTACTGACTGTCAGAGGTGCTACTCGGACTGTGACTCCCGGATCTGCGGCACTGCGGCGATCGGTCCTTACATTTCAAACCTGCTGACAGAACTTTTCCACAACGTCCAGAAGTGTCCCTCTGTAGGTTTGTGGAACTTCTGGTTTTTCTGCGGTAAAATTTGTGTGTAAATGTGTGTGTAAGTGTGTGTGTAAGTATGTGTCGTATTCTCCATGAGCTTCATAAATCTGCCCCATCACCAAAAATGTTTGTCATGCAAAATCAACTTTTCAGATCTTTCTACCTTCTCAGAATGATGTGTGGGCCTTGTGTTTGTCGCTGAAGTGTTTTTTAGATTGATTTGGCTTTTTTTTTTTTTTTACAAATTGCAGCGTATTTCTGCCACCCTCCCACGTGACAACGAACTAAAGCTGCTATAACGATGAAGCGGCAGATACACCTATGACGCGTTCGATGTAGCAGAAAACACTTCACACCCGCCCCACTCCCCCACTCCACCTCCAGTCTACACGATATAATAAGTTTATCTACTAGTGTTTATTAAAACCAGTCAGTAATGTTCAGTTGATGTGGACGTGGTGCTTGAGCTTCGTGCTCCTCAAAGTCCTCGTCTGATTCCGGGTCCAACACATGCGGCTGAACGCGCTGTATCTCCATGATGAATAAAAGTTTATTCCTGCCGCTGTCAGGGTCACGTCTGTCTCCCCCTCCCTCCCTGAGACGGCGGAGGAAGGGCGACTCACTCGTCGCCTACGTCACGTTTGGAGGGCGGAGCCTGTGCTTTCTCAGGACGGGCGGGGGGAGGAGCAATAGTCGGACTTTCATAGTTCCTGGTCTGTGACTGTCTCCAAGAAATAAGTAAGATTTCAGAACTATTGTGTAATGGATGTTCCAAAACCCAAACTGTGCAGAAGACACAATGTGAAAAGAGTTATTTTGTGTGAGATGGGCTGTTTAACTATCAAGGTAAGAAAGAGAAAACCTTAAAGGAGAACAATGACCACACATTAGAGAACTACTCAGCAAAACTACTACCAAAATATCGTCATATTGTATCATCAAAAGTCTCACAATAATATCGTGGACCATCACAATAAATCGAATCAGAAGTTTCTTTGTTTAAATGCAGATTTTATAGAAGCAACAGTTTATAAACATCAGGAACTACATTTCCCATGATTCATTTCAGCGCAGACAACATGAAGAAATATGATTTTTACTTGAATTCTTGGGATTATGACGGAAATAATTCTACACTCATTCTACAATTACAATTAAAAATGGATTTGATGATGTAGATATTTGTTTAGATAAATAGATTTGTGCAGTTTAAACGCTCCACGTCTCTAGGATCAGAACATGAGTTGAGTTTGTTGTGTGACTAATGTGTCTCGTTGTTTCCTTTAAGTTTTGTTCTTTCTTCTCTTGATCGTTGTGGATAAATTGTTCATGAAGAATGTTTCTCCTTTGTGGAGTTTGTTGGTTGAAGATTTGGTGATGGGGCAGATTTATGAAACTGCTGGAGAATACGACACACATTTACACACATATTTAGACACACATTTACACACACTTTTACACACACATTTACACACACATTTAGACTGAAAAACATAAACAGAAGTTCCACAAACCTACAGCGCGACACTTCCGGCCATTGTGGAAAAGTTCCGTTGGTTCTGCGCTCGGTCCAGTCAGAGCGACCCCCAGTGGCCGGAGGGAGAACGTCACCGACATGTTCAACACAAACGCAGCGAAAATGTCTCTGGACACGTCTGAGTTTACAAAGAGACGGCTGTGTGCTGGTGCTAATGCTCGCAGATGCGTCTTTATAAACACAGAAGTTTCCGGTGAGGTTTTCTCCTCGTTTAAAGTGTGCGACGTGTCTCCTGCGGCTGCGGCAGAAAGAACCGTCTGTGTGAAACAAACATAATTCAAAAAGTCGGTGAAATGTTTTGACGGTGACACGTTTGTTGGCGGCAGATCTGGGAGTGACGGCGTTGCTCTGGTGCTAACGCTCGCTCGCGGTGTTTTTTGAATGTCGTGGTGTGGGGTGGATTTAAAGGGACGCTCACCTCAGACTTTATACTGATGTTTTAGTATTGTACAGGTTTAAAGGTGCTAATCATGTTTGTTCACTGTAAAACGGCCCCGTCCACACGGATAAAAGTGTTTCTGTCGTTAGAACGTTTACATCGTTACTGTCGTTAGAATGTTTACATGGAGCCAGCGCCCTGTAAAAAACATTTACCCTGCAACTTTTACTGTTAAAACATCAGTGTCTTTGAGAGGTCCACAGCTGCAGCCTCACTTTTAAGGTCCAATATTCCACATTCTTCAGGCTTTTAAATGATTAGGACATTTTAGCCATAGATATTTATTTATTTATTTTGGATTGTTTAAGTTGAAATACAGTTTTGTGGGAAACAGGTTCATTCGTTCTGAAGCTGATGCAGGAACCATCACTTTACATGTCCTTATAAAACATGCACCAATGAAACATCACACTAAATGTTTGTTTGTTTTTTTTTTGGTTGAATCTGTTCCTCAGCTCATCTTCAGTTCTGCTTCTTCAGTTCTGGTCAGACGCTGGTGACACTTTCTTCCTTCTGCCTTCAGGGTGCGCTCACTGCACTGAAACTCCTCTGAACCTAAAGAGGTGTTCACACCAAAGCGTCAAAACGTCCAGTTTCTATGTAAAGTTGATGTGGACGTGCGTCGGGGGCGTCTAAACTCAAATGCAAAGGCTCCAAATAGAGGCGTCAAGGCGTTTTTTGACGCTCTGGTGAACGGCCCTTAACATCTACATGAGAGGGGAGTTAAAGAGACTGTTTTTGTTAGGAAAGACAATCCATCCTTGAACAGAAATGGACTTTGACATCGTTTGTCTCCATCTACAACTCCACCGTCCTCAGACCGAAAACAAAACAAAGAAAACGACAGAGACACTTGGATCAGACTCAGAGAAGTGAAACTCTGTCAGGACCTGAGTGATTCTGCTGATGTGACTCAGGCACAGGTCACATCAGAGCAGATCAACAGACCGAGCTACAAACACAAACTGTGAACACTGTGTGTGTGAGTGAGTTCCAGAGGAGTTTCAGTGTAGTTAGCTCCTCCTTCAGGCAGATATAAGAAAGTGTCACCAGAGTCTGACCAGAACTGAAGAAGCAGCTTGAATGAGCCGAGGAAAATATTTGACCAAAAAAACAAAACAAAGCAGCCAAAAACATTTGTCCAGTTGACAAATTGATTAGTTTGATTAGTCCTTTTATGCCACTTTTTGTTGTTTTTCACACTTAAACTGGCATCTGTTCTGCTGTCTTATGTTACAAGCTGCAGTGACATAAATTTTCAAAAAAAAATTATTATTATTATTTTTTTTTTTATTATTATTTTTATTTTATTATTATTATTACAAATGTTTCTCCCCACTCCCTCTCCATTCTCTCTTCAACAGCTGTAAAAAGACACTAAATGTATTTTTCCAACTTAACTATGTCAATAAACTTTAGTTCTAACCAAAAATATTTAATTTGGGGGAAAAAATGTCCAAGATTTTAAACATTAAACTCAGTTTTGTTCATGTTCAGTCGATGATAAAACCCAAAGTTTGTATCTGATTCCAAACCTGATTTAACTTGAGCATCAGAACTGAGACGTCACACACACGTCACGCTGTGGGTGTTCTACATGTGTGTCTATGGACGAATGTTCAGCAGTTACCGTGGTGACGTGACGCACACATTAGCAGACTCAGACGCAGTCAGCTTCACCCCGTTCACTGTTGTCGTGTGAAGAAGAGCAGAGTTCGTGGAGTGTTTTGTGCAGACGTGGATGTTCTGGACTCGTTCTGATCTTTATCCGTGTGGACTCGGCCCAAATGTCGTGTCGAAGCTGCTAAAGCCCCACCCCCTTTACGCCGACGCTCTCGCCCGTCTGACCCATCCCCCATCTCCAGAAACTCTCCATGGATTTGTGTGTGAATCCAAAACGGCTGCTTCATGTGTACTTGGTCATCCCGCGCTCATCGTCATCCCGCAGTCGCTCCTCGAAGCATCGAAGCATGTCCCATCCGTGTGCCGCTGCCTCCCACTCCGCCGTTTTGCACAATGTACCGTTGTATTGTACTTTTAGTGGTGCCAGTGTTTCTGTAAATGCCAAATCTGATCTGCTTTAAATTAAAGTGCACATGACGGGCTTCGGCTTTTTATCGTTATCTGACCTGGTTTGGACGAAATATTTATCTTCTCTTACAGACTTGAAGTGGGAGTCTGTGGGAAAATGTTGACGAAGAATCCAAAAATACAAGAAGTAGAAGTAGCGCTGAATTCTAAAACGAACAAAAAAAACCAAAATACAGAATTTAGGCACAAGGAAGGACTTTTTCTGACACTTTGAACCTTCACGAGTCGAATCACAACTATTAAAACTGTAATTTAAACACGTTTTGTTGTTTACATTATGGTTTCTCAGACGACGCAGATTTGGAAGCAGAATTACAAACCAAAATGAAACAACAGTGTAACCGGTCATGTGCACTTTAAGGACAGAGTTTTGTTTCCGACGCGACACAGACGTGCTTCAGACACCAGCTTGTTTTCCTGTTATTGGCTGTAGCTATTTTCCAGATATGGCAAAGTCGACATAAATAATATTAAAATCAAACAATCAAACAAACACTGATCTTTGAATCCACTCTTTCTTCCAGCGCGATGGGGGGTGTAACCGAGCTCACGCTGAAACCTGACGCACAGGGAGGGCATCTGACACACGGGGGCATCTCAGAACATGTTTGTAGAACCTTAAACTTCAGGGTTAACAGGTTTTATCCAGAATAACGTCATGTTCTTGAGCAGTAGAAAACAGAAGAGAAGCTTTAAATACACTGTACATAGAATATTTACTAGTTTACCTGGGCACATTTGTTTAATCTTGAAGGACAAAGTATAAAATAACAAATCGTCTCTAGTCAAGCTTCCGTCACAAACCAAGAAGACGTTTGGAAACTTGCGATGAAACTTCCTCTGGGCTCTGTTCACGGTCGTAAGTCTGACAAAATATGAGAAAAATTAGAAAAAAATCACGTTTATATGAGAGCTCAAAATAACTCTGAATAAAA